CTATTATTGTTTTTCTTCTTCATTATCATCAAAAACGTATCTTCAATTCAATATTCAAACAGAAATTGTCTGTGGAAAGTAACCATCTATTTCTCTTCTTTTTATGTTTAGTGTTCAGCAGACTGTTACACAGGTAGATGGGGTAATTTCATTTTTTATTTGACTAAAAAATAATGGGAAATAAACCTATCTTCTGTAGGAACACTGACGCCATCTTTGAGACAATACCAGCTGCAGACGAGAAGAGTGGGACGATAAGTACTCCACGCTGTCTCTGCATAGTTCTGACTTCTGTTAAGTCTACATTTTAGCAAAGATTTTATTGTCGTTGTTCACATTGTTCCATGTGGTTTGGAGATAATGAGAATTAGGGATGGTGACACCTATTAAAAACATTGGTCTTATTTTAATGGATCAGTGTTGCATCTGGGTGATAATATGAAACAGCTATAGCTCTGATAAAGCTCTAGTTCCAAGACAGTTTATTGATTGAACACTCAAGGATATTTTGAGATTTGTATTTGTAGTGGAGTGGCTTGTCATCCCTGCTTCCAAAGGACAGGTAAAAGAGTCAGGGGAAATCACAGAAAGAACACTAGCTCTAGAGGGTGGCAGTAGGGTTCAAATCTTGCCTCTACCAATTATTGCCCAGCTAACAATGGAGAAGTCACTTCAATTTCTTCACTGGAAAATGAGGGCACTGGACTAGATGACTTTTGAGACAACTTTCAGCTCTACAGTTGACTCTGATTTTGGTGTGTAATGGTGGACAGGTAATTGTGTCTTTCTAGATATTAAGAAAGTGCTAAACTGTTGAAGCCTGCAGTAATATGTTGCACTTTTATCATTATAAATATCTTGTTCTCCTGCCTCTTGTAATTATTATTGTTATCTCATTCTTCTCTTGTAGGATGAAGTTGTGATAGAAGTGTTCTTGGAGCAAGTCACTATTCAGTTATTAATTTTTTAATGTTCTATATACCATAGTGCTGATGGAAAAAAAATGCATTTTGAAATTGAATAAAAGTATTGGGGGGCAACTAGATAGAGCAGTGGATAGAGCACCAGTCCTGGAGTCAGGAGGACCTTAGTTCAAATCTGACCTAAGACACTTACTAGATGTATGACCCGGGGCAAGTCATTTAACCCCAATTGCCTAAAATAAAAATATAAAAAAGAATTGGAATTTATGATCATCTTCTATAAGGTTAATGAAAGCATCTTTTGGAAGAGTACTGTAATAGAGTGATAAGGACGTTGTGGTCCACATATTGTTCCCATATGATTTTCATTCCTTCTGGTGCATCTCTATATTTTGAAAGTTTTTCATTCCATGTAGCTTAGAGACTATGAGTATTAGAGATGGTTACACCTATGAAATATTGTTCTTAAATTTTTTTATAGATTAGTGCTACATCTTGGTGATTTAGTACAACTTTTGTTTTTCTGTGATAACATTCCAGTTCAGGAATTTATTGAATTATAAAGGATAAGTAGAGATCAAGATGTATATATATAGCATTTGGACTTGTTACTTGTTAGTTTGTGATAGCTTATCTCTGATGTATAATTCTATCCACCAGGTCATGTTATTGCAGATATTTCATAGCTATTATGTTTTTGGAACCTTTGATAATTTTTTGCACAGTTTCTACTGATTCCATTAATAATTTACATTGATCAGCAAGTCTATGCTCCTTCTATAACCCTATCCTCAAGGAGAACCCTTTTGTAATTGTTGGTGGCAATGACTGGATCCTAAATTGTCATCATTAACTGCTCTTCTTATGTAAATGAATGTTGTATAACTCAATCATTTGTCTTTTGCTTCTTGGATCAAATAAGATAATATTTGGAGATTGCTTAGCACAGTGCCTGGCACAAGGTAGGTATTTAATAAATGCTCATTTCTTTCTTCTGCTCATGTCAATGTTGCCTATGAATATGGTGGTTCTTTGATCCCAGTCTTGGATATTAGCTTTTTTTAATAGACTTCATCTAGAAGTAAGGCACTTTTGATTATGCTCAAATTCAGTAGCATGCAAATATCGTCTGTCTTTATTATTGCTCAAAAATGAAATGTCTGCTTCTTTCTATAAGTTTTTAAATGTATTTAATTTGTTCTGAAAATATCCAACAACCTTCTTCTTCTTTTGTGATGACTATGCATTATTCTTTGTACAGATAATTAATTGTGATAGGCCTTGTATATCATTAATTACTATATTAAGCTTTCTTAAACTACTTTAAATTATCATTATCTCATTTTTCTGAAATTAGACAGAAATAGTCACAGGAAGAGCTTCTCTCCCGCTATTACTTTTTGATATTTAATGTTTTGTGGACTATTACAAAGTCATATCAAGTGACTCATTTTTATAAATAAATAAAGTATTGGCATGTAAGCCCATTTTCTGCAGGCTCGTTGGAAAATACCTTCAGAATAACATTTATTATCAATATATTTATTATAAATGCTTGATTATTTATACGTATTAATAATAATCTTATCATAACCTGTTCTTTTAAGACACATATTAATTTGTGGCCTTCTCTCCAGTGTTTAAGTAGAAATACCATAAGCTATGTCCTTGGGATCAAGACAGTCAGGTGCTAAATACCAGGAAATTAAGAATAAATCAATGAAGCAATATCCCTACAGGAGATCCAGAGAGGTGATAATCCATAGAGGAGATCCACTGGGAAGGATGAATTCAATTGTCTCTATAACTCAATAATAAAGGTTGAATCTTATATGTCATTTTACATATATGAAGTCCTACTCTAATGCCTTATCATGCCATAGAAATGGAATTGGTTTTCTGAAAGCTGTGATAGTAAAGCACAAGGTCTGGCATATTGAGGCATGCTGGAACTGTTGTCTTCAAGTACTGTCTTGGTGATGTATGGTGTCAGATTTATGAAGACCAGTTAAGCATAGCACTTAGAGGATCATCACCTCTACAATGGTCATTTGGTGATGGATTCGTCAGCAGTGGCAATCCACAAAACAAAGGAAAATACAAAATGGCCCTTACTTTCGTTGGCCTCCTTACATTTCAGCAGTGATATTGGCAGAGTGGTGGAAGAGAGATGGTAAGAGTAAGACTCACACAGTGAAGACCATCCACACATATTCACTTAGCTGCTGTCTATATGCTTAATGTGATGGTCCTTGTCTAGTGACCAAGGAGTGGTTTTTCTATTGAAGGAACTGAATCATATAAATTTTTATGTTCTTGCTATAAATTAAACTGAACAACAAAAGAAATTTATAACTGAATGGAAGGATGACTCACAGGTTCTTCTGGCAGAAGAAAATAAGGGAAAAAGTAGAGTTAGATTTATCACGTGTTCAAAGGCAAACTAAAATCAAAAGCTTAATGGGACATTAAATATTTCATATTTAAGTGATAAGGATTTGCAAAAATATCACTAGAAAGATGATTGCAGCTTCTTCATTAACATATATTTGAAAAGTACTGAAAGGTAGATAAATTCTATTAGGAACTTGATAAAGACCTCCCAAATTAAATCAATATCCATTTTAATACTGGATGACTTCAATTTGAAAAGGGCAAGATAATGGAAAAATATATTGGAAAACAAGGTTTTAGGAATAAGAAACTAGAGAGGCCAAAGTCTATATACTATAGAGAAGCTTCACACCTATATATCATGAATACTTTCTGAACAGAATAGGAAGGCATTGGACATAGAAAGCACAAAGGAACATTCCATGATGAAAGTGATTACATCTTGGCAGGAATTGAATAGTCACTGATGTGGGAGTCATTCCCAAATCATCTGTTTCTGTACAATTAGACTACTGACTTGTTAGAGAAAGCATAAAAATCCAATACCAAATCAGAAAAAAAAATAATAAGATATGGCACACAATTGAGGAATCTCCAATCTGACCTACTTAAACAAACTATTGACAACAAAAACTTGGAAATGGATAAAAGAACATATAAAGGTACAGAACATTACAATCTCCCAAGGCAGTTTAAGCAATACAAAACAATCGTCACAATAATGAGATCAAAAAAGGCAGAAACTTCCTCAACCAACAAGCATTTGATCTTCATATCAAGGGGAAAGATATGGCACCCTAGAGTAATACCAGTGTAGAATATAAACCCACGTGTAAAATCTTTCAGAGGAGATTTGTGGAAGATTACAATCATTATTAATTCATGAAACAATAATAAGTGGTAGAGAAAAAAAATCACTTTTACAGTTAACTGGGTAGAAATTTAACTAAACCAGTTTATCCAAAGGGTGTATAAGGATGAAACTGGCAGGAAATGTGAATGGATAAAAATGCAAAAGATCTGTAAAGATTTTAATAATAAATTCTTTCAATAGCTGTGGATCTACCACATGTAGACTATAACATCACAGTGCTACAGGAAGACATATGGTACTAAAGATGAGAAGGGGAATTGGACAAATATACCCAGAGAAGCCCTGTTCTGGAGGCAATACAATTTTTAACATCATTGAGGAAATGATTCTGATGACTTCTGGATGTGGGGGATATACCAAACACTCAGGGGAAAATCAACTAAGAAATTATCGGAAATTATTAACCATTATGCCTGCTTCCCTACCACAGCAACATCTTTTTAAGTATTATCTACATATACATCAAGGGTATCCTTGATGAAGGTATGAAAAAAGAATAGGTAAGTTTTTTTTTTTATAAATACTATTTTCTAATGGACTACATCATTATAGTAATACAACTGATCACACATTGTAGAGAATATGAGACCTCACTATGACTATCAGTTGACTATTTTAAAAGCAATTTGATTTTATAGGACAAATTACCACCTTAACTGTTTTCCTTCAACAGTGTATTTCCCATGCATGTCAAAATCACGTTTCCTTGAATGATGTAATAACAGAGATAACTTTGTTCGACAACTCTCTGACTATTAATATCAAGCGAAGCATAAAATAGGGAGTGTATGGTCACCAAAGGTGTTTACCATTGTCATGGAGGATGTCCAACGCAGAGTCCAAATCAAAGAGGGATTCCCTATAGATGGTGATGTCCTCCAGATGCTGTTGTTTGCAGATGGCATTGTGCTGATTGCATCAAGCCCGGAACATTGCAGAGCCTCCTAAATGAGATCCATAATCACTCAAAAGAGTTTGGCCTAATTTTCCACATAGGAAATACCAAGTGGATGAAGAATCCCTTTAGTCCAGATTATGAATTGCAATTGAATGGGCAACTCATAGAGCTGCTCCATCAGTTCATATTTTCTTGGCCAGACCCTGCAAAGAGTCATTGAGCTGGGTCCAGAACTAAATGGGAGGAGGAGGGCAGGCTGGATTGCCTTTGGGAATTTGAATAATTCCTTTAAGGACCCCAAGCTCCTCCCTGAAATATAACCCATATTTTCATTCATCTATAGAGATTATATGGCAATAAGTCATATAATAATACCATCTCCAAAGAATTAAAGTTTTGGGTCCCCCAAACGGCAATGGTAAGGCATAAAGTGGAAGTGGGTAGGCTACAACCCATTATTCATGAGTAGTGACATAAAGGACATCATTCAGAGAGATACATGAATGGAAGAGGAGGTGGGTTGGTTATGTAGTGACAGTGAGAAATAATCTTGCATGCTCCGGTGATACCCACATAATGTAAAGATATTTAGCTAAAAATCTTTAGAACATTCAATGGACCCCCATGGATAGTGTATGGAATGACATGAACAAGAGTGGTACAGGATGAGAAATGTATGGATGGGTTGAGATCTCTACCTTTGAAGGGAGTACCCACTTCAGAGACATCACAAAGCTATTGAAATTTCAAAGCAAGGACACCCATTACCTCCTTGAAGCCTCACAACAACCCTGTGAGGTAGGCACTACAGGTATTATGATTGCCATTTTACAACTGATGACTCGTATGCATTAGATTCAAATCTAGCTCTCTTCTCTTCCAAGTCCAACAAGAAATATCACACTGCCTCTCAATGGGGATCTCTACCTTTCCATCTGCATATCGTAGATTAAAATACCAAGAAAAACTTCTAGTTAGGATTCCTCTATGTTGTTCACTCATTCATCATTCACTCATCCACTCATTCACCAAGTATCCAGTATACACCATCACTTTGGGGGATATAAAATACGTGGATACACAAAACGTAGTCACTTAATAAATTTTTCTATAATTGAACGGAATATGATATGGGCCCTGTGCTCAAGGAATTTACATTCTCTCTTGTAGGTTAAGGCTAATAAACTTTAAGTATATATTTTTATATTTACATAAAATGCTTATTTGGATTTTAAGTTTATAATCTTTAATACTCATATTTTTATTTTAACAAAGTACTCAAAAGTAGTGTATTAAAAAATGGAACTAAAAACATGCAACTTTGTAGAATTTAAAAATACTGTAGATAATATCTGTACAGTGCAGTTTTAAACTATTAATGCTTAAAACTGTGCTAAGACTTTTGGTTCACCCTGTATTTGACTATTTACAGTTGGAATAAACACTTCATTTTCATATACCACCTTCTTGCTAAATTCCAAGCCTTCTACCTGCCAGGATAGGAAATAAACCCTAGTTTTCCTATCCGGAAATGACAATGAATTTGAAGACCATCTGCAGTAATCACTATCTGAGCTTTAACTGACCTGAGGCAAATGAGGCTTTGTCTAAGAGCACAGACTTGGAAAAGGGTGGAGTTGATTTCTGAAGTCTCCCTGAGACTCCCTTGCTTAATGGTTTAGCATTCCTTTCCAGGACCCACCTCTCCCACCAGCTTCTGTGGCCAAGAATGTCAGACCTCCCAGTATACTGTAACTGCTCCTGTACTGTCTTCTGCCCCTCCCCACCAAATGGTTTATACCAGGTAGAAAAATAAAAATCTAGCTACGGCTCTAATGACTGATATAGAAAATGAAAGGGGAAAAAGTGAGTGCCTGGAATGGATATGCCTGGAATACTTTTATTCATATCTAAACTATGTCCTTTTGGCTAGTCTACAAAAAAATGAATATTTAGATTCACAATTCCTAAAGCCAAGGACTACGTACTAGTCATTATTTCTGAAACTGACATCCTCGTCTACCTACACACAAGTTCTCTTACAGAGGTTTGTCTGTATGGATAACTGAATTCCCCAGGCGGTCCTATACTCTTCATCCTCCCAAAAGACAGAATTGCTTCTTATAATCAGTTATGCAACTACCATATATCCTCTGTCTTTAAGACTACTAGGTATTTGGAGAAAAGATCCAGCCAGAAAAGACAAGTAAAAATGTAGTAACTGCAAAAGGCCCTGGTTACGGTAACGGAAGACAAACCACAATTCCAGGGCAAAACGAGGCCTGGCCAACTAGTGCAGGGACCTTTCACCTTTGGGTCATAACTCTTCAAGTAGTGGGTATTTGATTTTCAGTGGATGGTTTAGACTGAGCTTAGAAAGCAAGTACAGAGTAAAAAAGAATCAAATATTCCTCAAATGAGTTTATTTTCCTTTTTCCTCCATAGAAACATAATGAGAAGATATGGGAGGTTGTATCATTTTAACATTCTTATCAAACATCCTATTCCTAGCTAGGAATTTTATCAACATTTATCTTTCTTTGCCTCCTCAGCACGTACCCTAGTACCTTGTACATGGAAAATGAAAAAAAAAATAAATAAATAAATAAATAAATAAACAAACAAACAAATAAATAAATAAATAAATGCTACCTGATTAACTTGGTTTGCCAAGTCTCTAAGCTTGCTTCACCTCTTCATCTTAAACTTGGTTGCTAAAACTTTGTGAACAATGTACAAGTCACTTCTCTTTCTCTGGTCTTCAATTCTCTCTGTTTTAAAATGAGGAGTAATCTCTAAGGAGATAATCTCTAAGAGTCCTTCTAGCATGAAATTCTATCTAACAAGCATTTATTAAGCAATTACTATGAACAAAAGCATGGTGCTGGGCCCTACCAGTGAATATACAATAAATAAAGTTGTCCCTGCTCTGAAGGAGCTTACATTCTAACAGGGGATTAGAATATCCACACAAATGATTAAATACAAAATTATATTCAGAGTAATATCAGGAGTAGGGAGAAAACTGGGGCATAAATCAAGGAAAGCTTCATTTAGGAGGTGTACTCCTTGAAAGGAACCAGAGATTCTAAAGAAAAATCTTTCTGTTAGTTCAACTTAAGTCAGTCAGATAAAGTCAAAAGTCAAAACTAGAAGGTACTTTTTAACATCATCTAGTCCAACCACTTTCTTTTTATAAAGTAATAAAATGAACAAACATTTATTGAGCATGTAATATGTGCCAGGAACTGGATCCAAGATTGGGAATCCAAGGCAAAAATAAAGCAGTCCCTGGTCTCAAAGGGCTGTAAGGAAGAAACTAAAGCCCAGAGCATATATTAGAGCTAGACAGGGCTTTTACAGCTTATGTAGACCAACCTACTTATGTTATAGATGAGAAAACTGAGGCCCAGAGAAGTTAACTGTTTTGAAAATAATTTTGAAGTTGTGGTACAGACCATTTAAAAAAAATTAAATTCTTTTGTTTATTTAGGGATTCCATAAAAATTGTTAAAATGTTGAAAATCTATTTAAAAAAATCCATGGAAAACTGAGAATAAAAATAATATTCAAGTTCATACTCTTATACTTCAGGAACTCTGAAAAGAGAGAAAACTCTTCTATGGGCACAGGATAGGATCCAGAACATAATATTTTGGAGAAAACTAAAAAGAAATACAAAATGATGTTTTTTTTTTAAAAAGCGCTTGAGAAAAGAGGGAGAGACCAGAGTTGACACAACAATTTCGTGTGCAAGAAGAATTATGACAATGAAGAATTCAGAGAAATATGAGAAGTTGTCAATGAACTGATGGACAGGGAAGTAAGCAGAGCTGGAGGAACAACATTCAGATACAATACTGACGCTGACAACAATAATGTTGATGAAAAAACATGGAAACAAAGATGCATTCAGATTAACTGTAACAACCCATTTTAGCTATGAAGAAGAGAGGAGGAAATAAAAATTACTTGTTATGTTAGGAGACCACAGGGAGCAGATATTTTACATACTGTCAGGTGGGGTTTACTATGTTGATGTGTTTTGTTTAAATGCTTTTCTTTATAACAAGAGAGGGCATATTTAGGTGATATATCTAGAAATGAAAGAGATGTAAAAATAAAAGGAACTGATGAATCATGTTAAAAGTAAATGAATAGCTCTATAAAGTAATATGATGGATGTGGAAAAAAAAAAAGTTTAAATCAGGTCTTGCTAGCTACATGGCCCTGGGCAAGTCACTTATCTTTTTAACTTAATCTCTCAGTTTCCTCTTCTGTAAAATGGGGGTAATAGTAGCACTTAACTCACCGGGTTATTGTGAGAAGCAAATAAAATAATAATGTTGAAGCACTTAGCATAGTGTCTGGTACATAGTAAGCACTATGCAAATGTTAGCGCATATACATATATGTACTGTGTATATGTGTATACATGTGCATATACACACACAGGGTAGCTAGGTAGCACAGTTGATAGAATTCTGGGTCTAAAGTCAGGAAGACTTGAGTTTAAATCTGACCTCAAACATTTACCACCTGTGTGACCCTGGGCAAGTCACTTAATGCTGTCTACTTCAGTTTCCGCATATGTAAAATGAGCTGGAGAAGGAAATAATAAATCGCTCCAATATCTTTGCCAAGAAAAACTCAAATGGCATTGCAAAGAGTCAGACATGACTGACATGACTGAAGAAAAACAAAAAATGCACATATATACGTGTGTATACACACATCTCTCTCTCTCTCTCTCTCTATATATATATATATACACATTTGTGTACACATACATACACACATATATGATAAAGACAGACAGAGAGATAAAGATAGATGATAGATAGATAGATAGATAGATAGATAGATAGATAGATAGATAGATAGATAGATAGATTCCCTAATGATTATCAGTTTCCCTGAACAATTATATATCTACATACAGGAGAGGTTTGAGACCCTTAAGAACTTCATCACATTTTCAGACTTTCTGGCAGCAAACAAGAATTGCTTTAGGACCTTGGACAGAGTATGTGTTATGATGGAAAG